AATGGTTCTTCAGATTGAGATCAGGGGATTTTGAAAGCTAGTGAAACATCTTTGTAATGTTCCTCAAGCCATTCCTGAACAATTTCAACGTGGCTCTCCACATGCATCACAGAGCCTTGGGTGCCCATGACCCTGGTACACCGGTTGTCCTTCATTACACTACTTTTGGTAGGTACTAACCCCTGCACATCGAGAGCACCCCACAGTCCTTGCCATTTTGAAGATGCTATGACCCAGCCATCACTATTTGACCCTTGGCAAAGTCACTCGGATATTTCTGCGTGCCCATTTTTCATGCTTCTGACTGTTCACTTGCTGCTTAATATATTCCACCCCTTGACAGGTGCCATAGTAATTATAGAATCTATGTTATACACTTCACTTATCAGTGGTTTTAATGTCGTGACAAATCATAGTGTGTATGCCTGCTAATATACTAAAAATGGTCCCTTCACAGCAGCTACTTCCACAATAAAATATAGAGTTTATTCAGTAAACGCTGTAATGTAGAAAAGTGAAATTCAAACTGCGGAATGTGAGTTAAAAATCACCTGTAGTAGAGACTGTAGCAGAGGTGAAGAATTTTCCAGGTCAGCTTTTTTTGTCTTTTGTATTTTAATTCACTACGATTCAGAGTTTAGTTTATAAATTAATCATCTACAATACCCACTGCTTGCTAGTTACTGTAGTAAATATGTGAGGTCACAGCTGTGGTAATTAAAACACCAACAATAATCACAATCAAACCAAAAGGTATATTCAATATATTAAAATACACCGCAGTGGCGTACACATGACCAGTGGGCCCCCTCCCCCCCCGCTCGGGGCCGCAACACATGGCGGCGGGCACCTGGTCGCAGGGCTACGACCCCGCGAATGCGGTATACTGCACACACACCTAAAGGACCACTACGGACACCCAGATCACATCAGCTCAATGAAGTGGTCAGGGTGCCAGGTCCCTCTAGTTTTAAAGGACCACTATAGTGCCAGGAAAACATGCTCGTTTTCCTGGCACTATAGTGCCCTGAGGGTGCCCCACCCTCAGGGACCCCCTCCCGCCCGGCTCTGGAAGGGGGAAAGGGTTAAAACTTGCCTTTTTCCAGCGCTGGGCGGAGAGCTCTCCTCCTCCAATCCTCCTTCTCTCCTCCCCGTCGGCTGGCTGCGCACGCATTCAGCCGGTCACATAGGAAAGCATTCATAATGCTTTCCTATGGACGCTGGCGTGCTCTCACTGTGAAAATCACAGTGAGAAGCACGCAAGCGCCTCTAGTGGCGGTCAGTGAGACAGCCACTAGACTAGAGGAAATAGGGGAAGGCTTAACCCTAGCTGGACCTGGCACCCAGACCACTTCATTAAGCTGAAGTGGTCTGGGTGCCTAGAGTGGTCCTTTAACCCTGCAGCTGAAAACATAGCTGTTTCAGAGAAACGGCTATGTTTCACTGAGGGTTAATCCAGCCTAATTGACAGCCGCTAGAGGAGATTCCGCGATTCTCACTGAAGACACTGAACGTCCATAGGAAAGCATTGAGTAATGCTTTCCTATGGGCGGTTTAAATGCGCGCACGCGCCTCTTGCCGCGCATGTGCATTCGGAGCTGAGAGGCGGCGGGATCCCCAGCACAAGGAGAAAGTCCGGCACTGGAGAAAGGTAAATGCTGAAGAGACACACTCTCACGAACAGATGCATATACACTAGCTAACAGACACACACATTTACTAACAGAGACACACTCAGCGACACATACATACACACTCACTTACAAAACATATACTTTCACTGACACGCACTCACTAACAGACATCAGACACTCAGTAACAGACACACTAACACTTACACACACACACACACACACACTAACACATTTTTTATTTTTTTTTAAATTTAATCCCCCCAGCCTCCTTACCTTTTGGGGTGCTGGGGTCCAGTGGTGCTGCTGCTGGGCTCCTGGGCCGGCGCGCGAGGGAGAGGTAGAGGGCCAGACTCGGGGGGCCCTGAGGTGGCCGGCTCCTGGGCCCCCCAGGAGAAGAGGCTGGCCCTGTGGCTGCATACCGGGTCGCAGCCGTGACCCCGGTATGTAGCCACTGAATACACGTCGATTATAGTCATTGATATTAGGTGCAATGTTAGTTTAAGGTTATGCTGAGATTTTTTGTTTTTCACATGTTATTAGGCATACCTTGCTCTGCTATGTAATACTACTTTATCTGATACTTGTAATATTAATAAACGTTTAAAAAGTAAAGCAGAGGATGGAGCAGAGTAGCACAGTTGAATGGGCATACTACATGAGAGCTCAGAGCAGCTGACACCATTTTCTTCTTCTGTGGGGCTTGCTATCCTGATTTGGACGGCCAGAAGGGTACATTTCAGACTGTGGCAGCACTGTGAGTCACAAGACTAAGAAACAAAAACCGGACAAGGCACAAATAGGCTTAAATATCGGAGAACCATTTACCCCAGTACAGTCCACTCAGGACTTATTTGCAGCAATCACACAACCTAACTTCTTTAAATGGGACAGATTGTCCTCACTTAATGTGGCCTTACCTAGTTACTTTAGTTCTGTTCACATATTTTATTTAGTGCAATGTTATGATGCATATATAACCCTCAGCTCGATTGGTTTCTGGACCCACCTCAAGCTAGCAATGAGATCCAGTTATGCAGAGTGTAGCTTTAACTAGGCATACAAATTATATTATTCTTCCATATATCCAGTATTATTCAGTGATACTAGTTCATTACTACCCTCTCGGCATGAGGTCTATACATAGTTAAGTTATGGTACAGTTACTCCGAATGTATTTTGATATGAAACAAGATTGTATGTATCATACCTAAAATAAATAAATTCATAGTTTGTTATGCCCGATGCATGTTCTCGATCCTTAAATATGTTTGCTCATTATTGTAAAAGCTTACTATATATATATATATATATATATATATATATATATATATATATATATATATATATATATATATATATATATATATATATATATATATATATATTAATAGTAAGCTTTTACAATAATGAGAGAGAGGACAGGAAGTCATGGGGAAGAGAGAGGACAGGAAGTCATGTACAGCTTTGTGTTAAAAATCAGGCAGAGTGTATGGAGATATGCGCTTGTTGGAGTCCGCTAACAATCCAGGAGTCCCAAATCTTGTGGAACACCTGAGTGTCATGGATTTGAGCTTTCATTCTGTCCATTTCTAAGATCTCTTATCTTACATTTGTGCTGGCTCTGCCTCTGATCTGCCTCCTTGACAAGCTCAGCCAATCCTATGGGAAAGCAGTGGGATTGGCTCACAGAACCCCTCCTGATGATGGCAGCCAAACAGGCAGATCAGGGGCAGATTGGAACAAAAGTAAGATTTTTCTATATTTAGGGGGGCAAAACTGCTAGATGGTGGTTTTACACTATAGAGTCAGGAATACATGTAAGCAACACAATAAGAGGAGGGAAAAAATAAAATAAAGAGGTTTAGAATAATCACTTTCCATGCAATTAGAGTATTTAGGTTAACAATTATTTTAAGAGATGTACCTCTGCTATTAATCTCTACAATGTTGCTACAAATATAAAAAAGGTGCAGCATTCTGGACATGTACTGACAATCTTTATTACCATTCAGGTTCTTGCTATTATGTCTCTAAAAGCCTTTTTTTATCATCTTTGCAGAGCAAAAATAAAGAATGTCAAAAACAAACACACAAAAAACAGATATAATAAAGAGTTTTTCCTTATTGAAAAGGGCACATGGCCAAAACACAGTTCCTAGAATCTGCACTTTTCCATTTTCAGGGCCTGAATTCTCCCACAAGGAGCACAGTTTACTTAGGACTTTCTAACTTTTTCACATCGATAGCCTACTTGTTCACCTTATTAAACAGATGTTTCCTCCTGCCATTCTGAGTATGGTACCCAGATTATGCGTTCTTTTAGTCATTTATGATCAGAGATTGATTCACTACATTTGTGACAATAAGGTCCACATTTTCCCCTTCATCCCAAAGTATTGTTCTCTTTAACACATCATATCTTATGCAAATATTTCCCTTCTGTTTTAGGTTGTAATTTGTTTTTAAGTCTCCCCATGGTGGAAGTGTGAATATTAATATCTAGAATCAGATAGGTGTCAATTCTTTGCTAGAATATGATATAAAATTGCACATGCCCTTTTTCAGCAGATTAAACTTAGATCTTAATTTAAGAAGCTTTTCCAAGTGGTTTGGTACGGTTAGAAATAGGTTTAAAATTATTTATCTACATAAGTTATCATAGACTTTATTGGTGACAACTGTAGATAAATAATTTGGAAAGTTTTTCCAACAATATTGAATGATTTGGAAAGCTTATTAAAATTCAATGCCTTAATTTGTACTCGCTGAGAAGCTGGAAGACAGCAGAGAGGGGGAGAAAATGAATACTTCTCTCTGCTAAATTAAAGGAACACTATAATATCACTCTAAATGTTTCTTTAGGCCCCCCTCCATGTTTGCCATGTAAAAGGTTAAAAACCCTCTCTTTCACTTCCGCGCCCAACCCTGCCTTCAGTTTAGTCTCCTCCTTCAGCAATGTCACGCCGATGGGGAAACGTGATGAGTGTCATGCGCACACTAATATTTTCCCATAGGAAAGCATTGAATCAATGCATTCCTATGGGGATTTTGAAGACACTGGAGTCCTCATGCAAAGCGAGAGGACATACAAGGTCAATTCACGGAGTTCAACTCTGTGAGGCATCAGAAAGTGCCTGTAGTGGCTGCCTGGTAGACATCCACTAGAGGTGGCATTACTTCTGCAATGTAAACATTGCAGTTTCTCTAAAACTGCAAAGTTTTGGATTGCAGTGTTAAGAGGACAGGGGCACTTCACCTAGACCATTTCAATGAGACAAAGTGGTCTTTGACAGCAGCAGTCCCACAAATTCCAATGTTTCTCAAATGTTTGCAATATTTCTTGAGAATGGACAAGCAAATATTGACACATACAATATGAAAGATGACAAAAATAAATACATAAATAAAATTAAGAGTTTGCATACGTAGACATTTATTTAACAATGTCGTTTAATACAGTATAGTTAATGTAGGGGTTAACTCTCACAATACTGAACAGAACTTGTAGCTTTATCAAAACAATATTAATACACGTTTAAAATATGAAACTCCTTCAGAAAGAAGAGTGGAAATAAAAACAACACAAAACACCAAAAATAAACTATAGATTCTAGATATCAAGAAATGTGTAAAAATATAATACATTTACGAACCTAGGTGGTTGGCTCTCCTCTATGGCCCTCAAGACTGTTAATACTGTCGTTTACAATAAAAGACAAACTATATAAAAAAGATTCTATAGGCTTTGGATGGTGGCAACACTCATTCTGTTTGTCACAATAGAATCACACAAATAGGGAAGGTGACGAGGAGATATAAACACTGGAGTAGCTGGTCATATATTTTTCTCCTCTCCACTAGAAAATTAGTCATGATGCAGTAAAATGCCCTGTGAAAAAAGACAAGGTAACAAAATGCAATTATGTCCATTCTCTAGAAACTGTAGATTTCTTTGGGGAAGAGAGGTTATACAGCACATTCAATGTTAACAGTCTGTAGGAGTAAGTGTTCATTTAAGAAATGTGCCCACTGCCAACAAGAGTGGTAGTTTCTCATGTTCCAGTATGCTCCTTTTAAAATTTGTGAATACCAATTGGACATGGCCAGGTTAATAATAATAATATTGTGCAGTGTACAGCCACTTATATTGAACACAGAGCACAAGAGTGTGGGCCCCTCACCATTAAAGAAAATAATTGATGAAGTAACCTGAGTTATCATAATCAAAGAGCCCAGTGCTTTCATGAGTGAACATAATGTTTAAAATATGAAACACCTTGCCCCAAGAGTTAGATGAGCAATGCATTGTGCCAAGAAAAGGTATCCTGGAAAGTTTTACAGTGTGAAAACAAGCAAGATCCAACATGTCGTTTCTATGTAGTATCTTATATACGGCAAGAAAATCCTGTTCTGCAACCACCTAAATTTAAATTCATTCTCAGACTATGTGCCAATGGTAAACAACTCATACTTAAGAGTATGTCATAGCTACCAGGGATAGCAGTGTCACCCATTATTGGCTTTTGGGGGTGAAGGCAAACATTCGATCTTGCTCCTCATCAAAGAGCTCTGGATTTTACATGCCCTACTAACAGACTGGCTATTTTAAGGGATAATCTTTTGACCTATTATTTTCCCCAAAACATTTCATAGGACAGTCCTATCTGCAGGACACGGGAGTTGTATGGCATAGCAACTCCAGTTTCACCCTGCATAATCAGATCCAGTCTCCACCTTGCCACCAAAGTCAAACAGTGGTTTTGCCTCCCCACAACCCTGTGCTACAAAATTCTCTAGAACTTTCACTGGTTCACGCAGAAAAACTACTAGCACTGTGATATTGTCTCCAGATCCACCTTCTTTGGCTGCATTTACAAGTCTCTCTGCAACACTCCGCCCATCACCTGCATTCTCTTGAAGGTGACTGAAGACCAGCTCAGGAACCTCTGATGGTGACACAGTGTCATAGAAGCCATCACATGCCAACACCAAAAAATCCTCCGAACCATTGAGGACATGAGAAGTCACATCTCCCTCACCAGACACATATGGTTTCTGATTAATGTCACCTAGAAGTAAGAAAAAATAGAAAGAGAGAGGACAGAACAGGTTTAAAAAAAGAAAAACAATAAAATTACAACTGAGATATGTATCTGTAACCTACTAACCAATGGCTCTGGATACAGCAAGGGTCCCATTGACTCTCCAGCAGCCCATAAAAGTAACACAACCTCCAAGGGATTCTATTCTGTCACGCTCATCCTATGAAAAGAAACACACACAAAAAACAAAAATTGGGGATTTTTTTTTTTTTTTTTTTTAAACAGCCAAGATGGATGAAGGGAAAGTGATAACATGGAGGTCAGAAGACAAAACCAAATGTGGTTTATTATTGATAAAATTAGTAAGAGAATACACAATTTATAGCCCTGCTTACCTCTCGCTCTGGTTTGTGGGGTTCCATAAGTGTTACAGAACACCCGTCCCTCACAAGAATGGTTTGGGAGTCCCCAAGCCATGCCACATGTAATCGTTCACCTTCCAACAATACACATACTCCAGTTGTTCCACTCCGCAGTCGCTAAATATTGTACAAAGGATGAGGGGAAAAAAAAAAAGCATGTTAAAGTCTCAACAAATGAGAGCTGGTACTAGTAGTAATGAATAGGCAATGTTGTGAGACCATTTACAAGGTATGCATTGCTTGCTCGTAGCTGTACAGTTTGTGGAATCTTTCAAACCATTTCTACAGCACAAAAATTTTAAGTACATTGTGAAAACACTGTATAACAAACGTGAGGCAGCAAACACTTGATAAATATGTACATATAGGTAAAAGTGCTCATAAACTGAGGGATTACAGAAAGTAAAACAAATTATTTAAGAAAATTAGATTACATTCTATGTACACTTTTGGGTGGACTAGAGCAATTTTTTTGGGTAAATTTGGTTGTGCAAATGATTCCATGTAAGCATATCATTCCACAATAACACGAACAAATACAGTAATATCAAAACAATAATAATCAATTATATGGCGTTCATAGAAACTGCACAATTTTGCATTAATAACGAGCAGGAACAGGGTAGTTCGACATGTCTAGGCTGGAAAACACGTATATGTTAAAACAGATAGGCTAACTAGACATGGGGATTGGAGCAAAGTAAAATGTTGCTAGTCATATTAGTGTTTCAGGAGTAAAAAAACACTGGGGTCAGGATTACTGGCATGGTTCTGCACTGTGAAAGAAACTAAATTTATATACAACAAACAAAAAATAAAAATAAAACCACTGCTCACATTGGGGAGAAGGGCCTTAGAAATGCCGTATGGTGGAAACTGGGCTTAGGGAGACTCTTATTTGGGGCAGGCAATATGCCTCTGGGAATAAGTCCAGTATCAGCCAATGCCCAAAGTCGGGAATGCTGGATGTTTGTTGCGAAGTGTAGCAAGGTGGGAGCACAGTGTAGGGCCTCTCCTGCCCCAGGCCGTGATGAAGGCCAACATCAGGTAACCTCGAAGTTCAAGTCCATCCCTATAGGTGAATTGTGGAAGCTAATGGTGTTCCGTCGCCGCCTGCAGCGACAGGTCTGGACTAGAGCAATTTTAAGGATTTGTACCTCATCTAGTTCAGTGGCAGACAAACTGATATAGACATAAAAACCACTCTTGGGGGGGCGGGGCCTGACACCATGGCCAGATGCACTTCTCTGTAGGTCCGGCTCTTCAACTTGAAAGCTGTGGCTAAATTGCCCTACAGCGATGCAGAAACCATCTTGGTCCTGCAGCAGACTGACATTCTAGCTCCAAGAACCGTTCTAAGCCCGAAGTGTAACGGTCTGACAAGCACTTACCTTGTGTGCGAGCTGCGGCCTACTGTGCCCGGTATTCGGGGGGAGCGGTCGATCACTCGACCTGGCAAGCACACCTGGCGGTAGCCTTTCTGCAGCAATGTCACCCTCCCCGGACCGGTGGGGGTTATCCCTACCCCTATTGGAAAGCGGACTCTCACAATTGCTGCAGCACCTGCACTTAATTGCACCAAGTTCCATGCGGTCAAGATGTCGAACGACTCCACTTCTTGTGTTACGCAAGGTACTCACACTGAGCAGTCACCACACAAGTCTGCTGCACAACCAACGTGGCAAACGGCTGAAATATTCACCCGTTCTTGGGCATTTCGGGAGGCAAAGCAAGAAGCCTCGCTGCCACAAGCTGGAGGGGAAGAACATGGAGGAGGAACGCAAGTGCGGAAGGGGGCTCCCTCTTCCAGCGCAGAGACCCGAAGCTACAAACCCAGGCTGAGTGTCACTAGGGGTAAGACCCCACAGCATAGGCCACGCAGACAGGAGGCAAGCCGCTATCAGCGACGACATCCCAGCAGGGCCTTCTGCCCCTCTAGATTGGAGAAGGACTTGGACTCTTCGAGCCCCCAAGTCAGTGGCTCCCAAATGCAGGCCTCTACACCGACCTGGGGTGGGAGGGAGACACTCCTCTGCACTCATCTCACTGCCTTCCTTCAACCCAGCGGCAGATCTACCCTCAGCCTTCCAAGCTCAGGCATCGGCTGACAAGCTGTGGCATATCAGCTTATATTCTGGGACTCATGACTGACCGACGCCAGTAGAGTACCTACGGCAAATCCAGCCCACCCAAGCCTCATTATATGCTCTTTACGTTTATACGTTACTGCCAAGCATCCATGAGTCGCATACTTTACACAGGAACGGTGTCAGCTTACTGTGCATCCAATGGTTCTTACCTCTACTACTCTCTTGCTTACTTTCTTATCTTCCTACCCATTGAATTAGCACACTCAGCATGTTCTAGCTTGTTTAAGAGTTAAAATTGTGCATATGTTCTCAACTACCCCATATGTAAAGCATGACAATTTGCCTGAGGATTGCCGTTGGGGTACCTCAAGCTTGTTTGTACTATTCTTCTGCACTGCAAAAAAAAAAAAATTAAAAATAATAAAGCACTTGGCAAAAGCAACACAAAAAAAAAACAACAAAAAAAAAAACACAACCACTCTCGAAAGCCTTTAGATAATAACAGACTGCTCCATTCAATTTGATATAAATGTATAAAGCAGACAACCCTTGCAAAATTGATTTGAGATGGTTTGGTCTCATCAATATCCTATCGTTTTGCATGTTCAAATCTTAGTAGAGAGAAGAAAAAACAAAAAAGAAGACTTCATTACCAGTGTACTTACAAAGCTCAGTCATAGACAGCAATGCTTGAGCTGAACTGCTGGAGGTCAAGCAGTCTGTATTAGAAGAAGATACCCATGCAGACACAAAGTAAATATCACTACATGTCGGTTTATCTCTGACTGCTTCTTGGCAGTGGATTGAATCAAGCAGCTTCATTGTATATTACAAGCCAACAGTGCAAAGCAGACACATTACACCTCAAAGATGTGACACTTCATGGAATGCAAACAGGGTTATTTGACAAATACTACATTTTAGCACATTTAATCCAAACTGCATAACATAGGCAAAAATAACAAAGCTGTGACAATAGCTGCATTTGAGAATATTTCCAAATTAGCAATTTTAGCTTCCATTTTGCCACTGCAACCTAAATTGCAAAAATTCATAGTTTAGTGAAAGCCACAAGCATATGTGTGAATCCCAGGGTTACTTGCGATTGTCCTGCTCACCGTGGGAGTGTTTTTAGCCTAGCCAAGCTCGGGCATTGTCTGGATTAGCTGCAGATATGCAGATTTCAAAATGCAAACTGTGCATGAAAATAAACATTAGTAGTGACTTTCAATCTGAAGTGCACACATTAAAATACCACAGAGGTGGACTAATTGCAAAGCTGTTAGATGCTTATTGTGTTTCATGAGCTTAAAGAAAATTTGACATCAGGATATTAAAACTGATTTTAACACTTGAGCATGGGCAGCTAAAATCTTAGACTGGCATAAGACAATAGTATATCAAAAACCTGGAGTTCCTGTTACATAACCAAGCATACAAAATCTTTAACCCAATTAGATAATTACCTCTCTCTTTGCTTTTCGAAGGAACATGGCATCTGTACGCTGGAAAGATTCCTTTACAGCCCGAGCGGGGTCCTGTGCCAGTGCTTCATGATTAGCCACTTGTACATGAACTTGGGCAGCTGCATAGTTCGCAGCATCCACACCCCCATGTCCATCAAATACTGCAAAGTATGATCTCTCTACACCATCCTGAGGGTAGGAAGGAGGAAACCGGTTAAGGATGCACCCAAGCAACCTCTGCCAACCTCTCCAGGTAAAACACAGCCTCTCTCCTGCAACACACCAATATCCAAGATTTGATCTTGAGCATCATATGATTATCTGAATCAACAAGAAAATTTAATTTTATGTGCTCCTGTATTTCATTTGTTTAGACTTCTCTTGTCTTCCCTACTCATAATAAAATAGTTTTAGGTTTTAATCAGTTTATCTGTTGGCACTATTTCATTACACAACACACTTCCACTACGTTCAAACAGCAGTCTTAGTACCGTGAGGCCATGAAGTTGATTGAACTCCAATAAGGTCACATGACGATCCTCCATCTTCCTGCGTGTATTACGGATGGCATGGACAGAAACGATCAACTGGCGTGAGCATCGCGTGATAGGTGGCAGGCAACTCTGCCACATGGTAGTGATGTCCTGCAGGCAGCTCAGGCAATGGTTAAGCAATAAGTCTGAGCAATAGACTGTGGATACAGGTAACAAGACATTACAAGGAGTAACCAAACAATGGTAAAAGCAACTTACATGGCATGATAGCAACATGGATAAAATACAACTAATTTTGGGGTTGCTAGAAAATGAAAAACCTTTACTGGCACTATAACAGCACACAAAATCAGTGGAGATAGGTGTTTTGTTAATCACACCATTACAAGCACATTCATCTTCTACACACAAAAAGAAAAAATTTTAATATCTTGATAGACTTTGAAAAAAAATATTTTAAAAGTTTATCTAAAATATTAAATAGTTTGAGAAACCTGTCAATAAATATTAGATTAGCACCTATATTTAATATATTCCAAGAGACTATTTCAATCTCTGTATCTACCCAATTTATAGAAAAAGTAGTACTGTAAAGGTATAATGAACGCGCAAGACAAATAGGAATGCATTGGATCTATGATCTCAATAGGTTTAAATAAGAATTTTAAAAATAACTTTACGTGACTATGTCATAATGATTCTAGTTTTGAACTTAGATTTGTTTTTTCACTTTCTTGGGTGATAATATAAAAAGACACATACCATATCAGAGTAAGTGGCAATTGTTAAAGGTATCAAATAGTACCTTCTCTCTGTGAAGTTATCATATATAATTTATAGCATAAATGTTTTAAGAATAGCCAATGAAATCATTGATCGTTTCATGTATTTACTATATATTTTGTGTGTATTATATTATGACTGTAAACACCTTTTAGATGTACATAAATATTGTCTCCACGTTAAGATGGATCTCCTTCCTTTAAAGCAGAGGTTCTAAACACAGTCCTCAAGGACCCCCTTAGTGTCTAAAGTGTTTTTTTTTTTTTTCTAAACACCTTAGAGACACCCAGGTAATCCCTAAATCCTGGACTAGTAGGGAGTCCTTGAGGACCGGGTTGAGAACCCCTGCTTTAAAAGGGACACTATAGTCACCACAACAACTACAGCTTATTGGATTTGTTCTGGTGAGTAGAATCAGTCCCTTCAGGTGTTTTGCATTTCAGAGAAAATGCAGTGTTTACATTATAGCCTAGTGATAACTCCACTGGCAACAACATGTGCTTCCTGGGGCAGTGCTGCATGGAGACACTGAACTTTCCTCATAGAGATGCAATGATTCAATGCATTTCTATGAGGAGAAGCTCATTGGTCAGGGCTGTGTGTGGCTTGAGCTGGCTCTGCCCCCCGATCTGCCTCTTTGACAAGCTACGAGAAAGCTTTGTGATTAGCTCAAATCAAGACTTGTGATGATGTCAGCCAAGCAGGCAGATCAGTGGCAAAGCCAGCAGCAGCAGACTGCAATAAAAGGTAAGATGTTGCTACATTTAGGTGGACAAGAGGGGAGGGGGCTGGGGGGCTAGCTGGTGTTTTGAACACTATAGGGTCAGGAACACATGTTTATGTTCCTGACCTTATAGTGTCCCTTTAACCCCTTAACGCCATTACGGCGTTCTATGCCATCGTGGCTTTAAAGCCGTTGCGGCAGCATAGAACGCCGTAACGGCTTAAGCCCCCAGGTGATCGCAGCTACTTACCTCTGCTGCGCTCCTCTTCTGGAGGGCTGCCAGACCGCCCAGGCAGCCCTCCCCCGGCGAATGAGGCCCCCGGGGGCCATGTGATCGCTCTCAAAGAGCGATCACATGGCCCTCTATAGCTGGCTATGGGTCTGCCAGCAGGAGGACTGTCTGAAATATCAGACAGTTCCCCTGCTGGTGGGAAATGAAAAAAAATAAAAAAATAAACATGTGTAAAAATAAATTAAATATATATATATATATATATATATTTTAATCAGTTTATATGCTGGCACTATTTCATTACACAACACACTTCCACTACGTTCAAACAGCAGTCTTAGTACCGTGAGGCCATGAAGTTGATTGAACTCCAATAGGGTCACATGACGATCCTCCATCTTCCTGCGTGTATTACGGATGGCATGGACAGAAACTATCAACTGGCGTCATATATAACGTCATACGTTGTGTATTTTAATACTAATATTAGTATATATTAGTATTAAAATACACTTAGAATGACGTTACATTTATATATATATATATATATATATATATATATATATATCTAATAGATATATATGTATAATTACATTTATAAATAAAATATTGAAACAAAATTTTATTAAAATTATATATTCATATGTAATTTCATTCTAACAGTATTTTGTTATATATATATATATATATATATATATATATATAAAACAAATTACACTTAGAATTACATTATATATATATATATATATATATATTAATGTAATTATATGTATTTGTTATATATATATATATATATATATTCATTCTAAGTGTATTTTGTTAATATATATATATATTAATAACAAAATACACTTATAATGACATTATATATATATATAACAAAATAAAGTTAGAATGAAATATATATATATTTTTATTACAAATAACCACAAATATATATATATATATATACACACACACACACACACACACATAATTACATGTAGAATTTAAATACCTATAAATGCATATATATTAAAATTCTACATGTATATTTAAGTAATCTTTTAACATAATTATGTGATTTGATTAATTAAAATTTGATTGACATGCCTGACAACACAGGGAGAAAGTGCAGAGAATTTAATTCGCAAGCACTATATTTGACCCTGTAACTCTCCAAGACACCATAAAACCTGTACATAGGAGGTACTGTTTTACTCGGGAGACTTCGCTGAACTCAAATATTAGTGTTTCAAACTGGTAAATTGTATTACAACGATGATATTTTAAGTAAAAGTGAAGTTTTTTGCATCTTTTACAAACAAACGTCACTTTTATGGACTATATTATTATTGTAATATGTTTTACTGTTTTAAAACACTAATATTTATGTGTAGTGTGAAGTCTCCCGAGAACAACAATACCCCCCATGTACAGGTTTTATTTTGTTTTGAAAAGTTAGAGAGTCACATATAAGGCTTGCATTTCATTTTTTTGACATTGAAATTTGCCGGATTGGTTATGTTGCCTTTGAGAGCGTATGGTAGCCCAGGGATGAGAATTACCCCCATGATGGCATACCATTTGCAAAAGTAGACAACCCAAGGTATTGCAAATGGGGTATGTCCAGTCATTTTTAGTAGCCACTTAGTCACAAACACTGGCAAAATATTATTTTTTTGCTTTTTTCACACAAAAACAAATATGAACACTAACTTTGGCCAGTGTTTGTGACTAAATGGCTACTAAAAAAGACTAAACATAACCCACGTTCAATACCTTGGGTTGTCTACTTTTTCAAATGGTATGCCATTATGGGGGTAATTCTCATTCCTGGGCTACCACACCGTCTCAAAGGTAACATTACTAATGTGGCAAATTTCAATTTGAAAATGGAACGTTCTATATTTGACCCTGTAACTTTCCAAAACACCATAAAACCTGTTAATGGGGGGTACTGTTGTACTCGTGAGACATCGCTGATTACAAATATGTGCATTTTTTTGCAGTAATACCTAACAGTATTATGACATTAACAGCTAAAATGTCAGACGGAAATACAAATTTAAAAAAAAAAAATCTTATTTTCTAAAAAAAAATTAATTTTATTCATAATAAATGATGTTCCATATATGAATAATTAATGATAAATTAAAGCCCTGTTTCTCCTGAACAAAATGATATATAATAAGTGTGGGTGCACTTAATGTGACAGCGGTGAATTACGGGTGAACAGACATATAGCGCAAATTCCAGTTTTTGTTTACGTTTTGTTTTGATCAGAACGTGTACTATTGACTCCGTCCTGAAGGAGTTAATATCATTCTGTCTAAGCATGTATTGTAAAGAGTTCAATTACTACTTTCTGTTAATATACCCACTGTACAGCGCCGCGGAGAATGTTGGAGCCTTATCAATAAATGTAATATGCCATGGATTGATTCGTTTGGGGGTTTCCACTTTCAAAAAGCTGGAAAGTGCCTTCCTTGCATACACATTGTCAAATACATTACATCAAAGAGCATTTGTATACAGCAGTGGTCCTCAACCGTTTCTCACCGAAGGCACACTAAAGCTCTTCTTCACAACACAAGCAATAAATATATTATTATATTACATCAGATGCAATAACATGCATACGCATTTCTTTATGTACCCAATGCAACCTAGAAGCATACATTTTACTTATCAATATATACTTGTTATAAAATAAATAATGGGGTGATGGTTGCACGGCGTATTAAAGCTTTAAAAGGCTTTCCCTGCCCTGAAAGTTCAGTCTGCGCGGAGCCCTCATGGGGTGAAGATGTATTTATTTTTATGTCTCTAATTTTTTCTGTGTATTTGTTTGCTTGATCGGGAGCCCTGCAGCAGGTATTTCATCATAGATATTAGTCTACTGTGCATGATTCTTTATATTCGGCAAAGGAAATGTTCTACACAGTGACTAATGAAAAGGATTTTTTTTTTTTGACTCCTCTCACTGTATAGGAAACGCCTCTCCTTTTACAGCAGTCTCTACTTTTCTCTCTCTTACCAACAGAGGGAGTCAGATTACCACTAAACATGCAGAATGAACACATAATACCCATTTGAATAGGGAGGAGGCAAGCAGGGCTACGCTAAGGACACTGCATGACCCTGCGTAAGGTTTTCAAATCAGATGCCAACACGATTCCTGAAATGTACAGACTTGTTTGGAGATGGTTATGCAATACATCATATACTTACTATCCTCCTTTGAGCTCTCATTCTCCAGCTCCTGGAAATCTGTTGCATCTTTCTTCTGCAAATAGGAGGAGAGGTCTCCCTCCAAAGTGTGCTGAACAGCAGCATTGACCAGGGTTGCAGAAAGCCATGAAGGTGCACCCCTGGGGATATAAAAATAACATGTCAGCAATGCTATTACTCCACAAGAATTAAAGGAACACTATAGTATCAGGAATACAAAAATGTGTATTCCTGACACTATAGCTGTAAAAACAAAGCTTAGGTCCCCAGCCTCCCTGTTAGAGAAGTAAAAGGTGTTAAAAAAAACAAACAAAAAAAACCCTGACCTTTTTCAAGCGCTAGTCTCGCCACGGCTAACTACCTTCTTGGAGGAGGTCATCAAAATTGACGAACTCAGCCAATCCAATGCTTTCCCATAGGAAAGCATTAGGAGACTTGTGCATGCGCGGCAAAATGCCCCACTGCGCCAATCAGTATCTGCTCATAGAGATGCATTGAATCAAAGCATCTCTATGAGGAGTATTCAGCGTCTCAATGCAGAGGGTGAAAGTCACTGTGCACTGGACTGGGAAAACCTTTAGTGGCCATCTGAATGACTGCCACTAGAGTTGTTCTTAGGCAGTAATGTCATTTCTCTGAAAAGGCAGTGTTAACATTAAAATGCCTGCAGGGACAGGCTATAGACACCAGATCCACTACAGCTGTAGTTGTTCTGGTGACTATAGTATCCATTTAACTAATTTAGGGTGCTTTACAAAATGTTAATGTGACAGAGCTCCTGTACTCAGTCCGCTTCCTAGCCGCTTGCAGGGACCCTGGAACATTTTAGCCCCAGTCGCTGAAGCCTGACTGGGGTCTCTCCGGAGCTCTTCCTCCCAATCAGGCTGCAGCTCTCCTTCAAGGCAGGTATCGCCCCCTCTGCCTATTCTGCTGCAGCCATCCTATCAGGCAGGGATTTGAGACAGCCGGTCCCCCTCTCTCCAACCACATCTGGAGTTACAGGTAGTGGAGACAGTCTGTCTCACTCCCCAGGGGTAGTGTACCATGCAGGGAGAGGAGACAACCTGTCTCACTCCCCAGCAACAGCTCTCTCTACCCTACACTGCTTTTTAAAGAGAGAAGAAACAACTGGTCTCTCTCCCCAGCGACAGTGTACACAGTTGGACCCCTCCCAGCGGCAGTTAGAACTACCAAGAATAGAGACAGCTGGTGTCTAACCCCAATTGTAGTCAGAGTTACCAGGAGCCAATGTTGCAAATCCCCCTTCACAGTGGCAGGCTGAGTTACCGGGAGTGGGTACAGGAGGTCTCTCTCCCGAGCTGCAGCTTGGGTTGCTGGAAGTGGAGATTGTCAGACTCCCTTCCCAAAGAGTGAATGAAGTTATAGGATGGAACTTTGTTCAGGAGACTACAAGGTTGGCTGGACGTTTTGGGGTGGGTTGCCAGACTAACTCAGGTACAGACCGATTGGAGGTCTGGGACCTGGTTAATCTTCCCTTGGGGGCAGGGAAGATATGTGGCGGTAGTTGTGGTGACATTCTGTCATCAAACTTATAGGGTGACCAGGGGTCATGTGACCAAGCTCAGGTATGCCTTTCTTACAGGGGGATAAGCTTTACCCTTTGATATGGTAATTAGGAAAGTCAATACCTTTACAAGTCAGGAAAGAGATAACCACTTCCCCCTATCTCCATTCCTCCCTGTTCCTTCTTGGCTGTGCTACTAAGCAGACATGGGCTTATTTTTATCATGTGAACTGTGAGTGGGAACTGATGACTTTATAAGGTTTAGTTGTTATTTAGTTAGATTGTGGTGGTGGTTGTTGTTTTAGTTGGTTAGATTGTGTGTCATTATTTGTATGTTGTTGTGTTATCTCTGAATAAATATTTGTTTATATGTGTATGCGTATATAATTTATATAGTTTGGTAATACACGACAGTAGTCACCATCACCTGGGGTTTCATACGGACATTTTGTGTAGGGCCCTGGACTATTCCTATATTTAAGTCACCCTATATCCATTGCAGGTGCAGAGAGAGAGAGAGAGAGTGTGTGAGTGAGTGTGTGTTTAAATGTTTTGCCTGCTCTCCTGTACTGCTGAGGATTGCTACCAACTAGGTGGATTTGGCTATGGAGCCTGTGTAGTGCCCTCTGTTAGTAGCAACAGCAACTATACATTACCTGAATAGCAAGGCTGGTTAATTTGTATATTCAGGTAGATTTGCATATTGCCATTTCTGCACGCAGGAGAGATGTTTTATGTTAGTTAATGTCTTTCCCACCCCTTTATAAATATGTCATAAGTTTAATGTGTTTGTTGTTTAATGTGATTTGTCGGTTTGTATTTTTATTGAGTTGTCCGCAATCTTGATGTATTTAATCATATGGGCTAGTCCCAAGAAAAAGTTTTGTATGTCAGTTTCTTTTGGAACTTGTGTCCTGTGTGGATCCCAGTGACAGAGTCTTCAGATCTGTTTGCTGGTTGCAGGATCCCTCTAGCCCAGAGAGCTAAAATTACCTTTGTAAAGGCAATAACTGTAATCACTGAAATAAAGGCTGCAGCAGAATAGGCAGATGGGACAATACATGTCTGAAAGGAGAGCTTTGACCACTGGAAAATGGACCCAGGACCCTGGTGGGAAGCAACGGCGAGACCCCATCCAAGCTGCGGTGGCTAGGGGCTGAAGTGCTGATGGTGTCCCAGTGATAGTTAGGATATGTGTTTGGCGAAGGTACCTGGTCGGGGTACCAGGTGGTCTGCCACAGTTAAAGGACCACTATAGTGCCAGGAAAACATACTTGTTTTCCTGGCACTATAGTGCCCTGAGGGTGCCTCCACCCTCAGGGACCCCCTCCTGCCCGGCTCTGGGGAGAGGAAAGGGTTAAAACTCACCTATTTTCTAACGCCGGGCGGGGAGCTCTCCTCCTCCCTTTCGGCTGAATGCGCACGCACGGCAAGAGCTGCGCGCGCATTCAGCCGGTCTCATAGGAAAGCATTTACAATGTTTTCCTATGGACGCTTGCGTGTTCTCACTGTGATTTTCACAGTGAGAATCACGCAAGCGCCTCTAGCGGCTGTCAATGAGACAGCCACTAGAGGATTTGGAGGCTGGATTAACCCTATTATAAACATAGCAGTTCCTCTGAAACTGCTATGTTTATATAAAAAAAAGGGTTAATCCTAGAGGGACCTGGCACCTAGACCACTTCATTAAGCTGAAGTGGTCTGGGTGCCTATAGTGGTCCTTTAACAATTGTATAAATTTGTAGAATTACACATACTTGCACAATTAAAAAGAAAAAACTACACATGGCTGTTACTCTGACATTTGTAGCACCTTTATACAGAGTGGGGGAAGGGATCTGCCTGCAACTGCAGACAGTTACTATAAACCATGGGTCGTCAACCTGGTCCCTACCGCCCACTAGTGGGCGTTTTAGGATTCCAGGTGGGCGGTAGGGATTTCTGAGGCTAAATCCTCTTTTTAAGAGGATTTCTCCTTTTGGGCGGGCGCGAGCGGCTCTGCATGCGCAAGTCTTCAGTGACCGGCAGGAGGAAGCGCTCCCTCCTGCCAGGCCACCTTCTGGACCCCCCGGCATGGCAGCGTTCTAATCAGTCGCGGCGAGGGAGCTCTAACCTCTCTGCTCTGCTCCCTCGCGCGATGTTTGCTGATGCCGCGGGAGCCGGAATATGATGTCATATTCCGGCTCCCGGCATCCGTAGACAGTCCGCGAGGGAGCAGAGCAGAGAGGTTAGAGCTCCCTCGCTGCGTCTGATTAGCCGCCCGCCTAAGTGAAGCCCCACTGGACCCCAGGGACAGATCCACACCAGCTCTCCAGGTAGGGAGGCTGGGTGGATATTTAATATTAATAATTTGTGTGTACATGTGTTTGTCTCTAAGTGTATGTGTGTGTGTCTGTAAGTGTATGTGTGTGTCTGTGTCTGTAAGTGTATGTGTGTGTCTGTGTCTGTAAGTGTATGTGTGTGTCTGTGTCTGTAAGTGTATGTGTGTGTCTGTGTCTGTAAGTGTATGTGTCTGTCTGTAAGTGTATGTGTCTGTCTGTAAGTGTATGTGTCTGTCTGTAAGTGTATGTGTGTGTGTCAGTAAGTGTGTGTGTGTCTGTGGGTCTGTCTGTGCATGTGTGAGTGTCTGTAAGTGCATGTGTGAGTATGTGTATATTTGTGTGTATGTGTTTCAATGTGAGTGTGTGTGTGTGTGTGTATGTGTTTGCAGAGTACTTGTAGAATAGAAGAAAGAAGGTGCAGAGTACTTGTAGAATAGAAGAAAGAAGGTGCAGAGTACTTGTAGAATAGGAGAAAGAAGGAGTAGAGTACTTCTAGTATAGGGGAAAGAAGGAGTAGAGTACTTCTAGTATAGGGGAAAGAAGGAGTAGAGTACTTCTAGTATAGAGGAAAGAAGGAGTAGAGTACTTGTAAAAAAGGAGAAGGAAAGAAAAGGAAAAGGAGAGAATTGTTGTTGACTAATAATAGTAAGTGGGCTACCTAGCTCAGCCTTCCTACTGGGCATTGCTATAAGGAAGGTTAAAAAATAGAAAAAAGGGGAAAAAGGTGGGAAGGGGAATTGAGGAGGGAGAGGAGGGGAGCTGACGCACAGATGAGAAATCATTTTATGAGCAAACAAAGAAGTCTTCCGATTATCACTGAAAGAGGAGACCTTCGTTTGTTCCTTATGAAAATCGAACCAGATATCAAATATTTAGTCTCGCAGCATCAACCTCAAGGATCTCATTAATCACTAGTAAAGGTAAGTTCAATTTACTTTATTGCTTCCTCATTAAACTTTATAAAGTTAAAAACATTATAAACATGCATAAAGTAGAAATAAAAAGATAAATGTACGTTCATTTATGTATTTTTTAAAACACCCTCCTTTCTAAAAAATATTCCGCGCTTGCGCGAAAACTGGTGGGCGGTAAGGAAATTTTTCCATCAAGAAAGATGCATTAGTGGGCGGTAAGTGGAAAAAGGTTGACTACCACTGCTATAAACAGTATATTCTGTGGCTCTTTGAAGGCAACTTTTTATTATTTTAATTTGCTTAAAAAATATTTAATACATGATCTGTGAAATAGATCCTGACTATCCCTTTACATGCATTTGCTAATGAAAAGGTTTTCTATGATAGGCCAGCTGCTAACAAGACAATGATTACCCAACTATCAATCAAATATATATTAAAGCATTTTTGTATAATATAAATATTAATGATTATTTGTTTGTTTTACCTTTTAAATAAGAGATTTTGAAATCTGTAATGTTTATACAGTGCCATTATATTCTACAACATTGTATAGGCAAAAGAATAATTGATCCTAAAATTATCCCATCCTTTAAATTACTATAACCATTACCAAACCAGTCATTTGGATTTTAAGTATAAAATTGCCAGCGTTTAAATTGACTTCCTCTCCTCAGAAAACAAAGTGGACAAATGTTTCCATAAATCTTGAGTCGTCCAAATTAATCAGAGCCCATTTCCTGTGTTAAATAAGTATGGTGCAAAAAGACTTGCAAAATCGTGTATTTCTTGCTTATGGTTGTAGAACTAGATGAAACTGAAGACAGGATATGCTGCTGGAAAGAGGAAGTCTAAAAGGAAATGCCGTCAGAAAATAGGAAGTCTGCTTTGGCAGTCTCTATTGTAACACTCCTTGCTATACAGGAAACATACCACAAATAGAAAAGGGCAGCAGGTGAAACCCCCCCCTCCACCCCCCCCAAAAAAACAGAAAAATAGCCGTTTATTACATGCTTTGGAATGAAGAAACATGGCTGAACATGACATTAGTAAGACCACATTGGTATGTGTATGCCATTCATTCACTAAACAGTAAATTTAACTAAATACATAATTGTATTCAATTGCAAAAAGAATATCAAACTTTAGGTAAAAGGTGAAGTTTTGTAAAAAAAATGCCATCTTAGCTATAGTCACTGCTTGACTATATATTTAAATTCAAAACAACTCTGAGATCAGTTAAAGGGACACTACAGGCACCCAGACCACTTCAGCTCAGTGGGGGCTAGTGGTCACCTGACGCTGGACATCCTCACACTATTAATGAGGACACCCAGCGTCACCAAAAACCTCACAGGAATGCATTTTATGCTATGCTTTCCTATGGGGGAAGTCCTAATGCGAGCGTGGCATTGAAGAAGCGCCAAGGGATATCGGCACTGGATGAGGTAAGTGACAGAAGGGAGTTTTAACCCCTTCTGTACTGTGTGTGTGTGTGTGGGGTGGAGTTGGAGTATAAGGAGCTATAGTGCCAGGAAAACAACTTTGTTTTCCTGGCACTATAGTTTCCCTTTCATAAACCCTGTAGTGAGAAGACTTTTACCCAATATAGTATTGACGCATGTACTTTGCTATTTTTTTTGGCGCAGATTAAACAAGTAATGTTTAATGAACAGGGCCTCTTTAAAG